ATATATGTATATTTGAACTAGTAAGGGACCAGATAAACTTGTACCAGAGAACAGTGATCCAAATCCACTACCATTGAACTAATAAGGGACCAGATAAACTTGAATCAGACAACAGTGATCCAAATACATGTATCATTGATCTAATAAGGAACCAGATACACTTGCACCAGACAACAGTGATCCAAATAAATGTATCATTAAAATAATAAGAGACCAGATACACTTTTACCAGACAAGAGAGATCCAAATACATGTATCATTGAACTAATAAGGGACCAGATACACTTGAATCAGACAACAGTGATCCAAATACATGTATCATTGATCTAATAAGGAACCAGATACACTTGCACCAGACAACAGTGATCCAAATAAATGTATCATTAAAATAATAAGAGACCAGATACACTTTTACCAGACAAGAGAGATCCAAATACATGTATCATTGAACTAATAAGGGACCAGATACACTTGTACCAGACAACAGTGATTCAAATATATGTATCATTGAACTAATAATGGACCAGATACACTTTTACCAGACAATAGTGATCCAAATATATGTATCATTGAACTAATAAGGGACCAGACACACTTGTACCAGACAACAGTGATTCAAATATATGTATCATTGAACTAATAAGGGACCAGATACACTTGTACCAGACAACAGTGATTCAAATATATGTATCATTGAACTAATAAGGAACCAGATACACTTTTACCAGACAAGAGAGATCCAAATACACATACAATTGAACTAATAAGGGATCATATACACATGTACCAGACAACAGTGATCCAAATCCACTACCATTGAACTAATAAGGGAACAGATACACTTGTACAAGACAACAGTGATCCAAATCCACTACCATTGAACTAATAAGGGACCAGATAAACTTGTACAAGACAACTGTGATCCAAATCCACTACCATTGAACTAATAAGGGACCAGATACAATTGCATCAGACAACAGTGGTTCAAATACATGTATCATTGAACTAATAAGGGACCAGATACACTTGTACCAGACAACGGAGATCCAAATACATGTATCATTGAACTAATAAGGGACCAGATACACTTGTACCAGACAACAGTGATCCAAATCCACTACCATTGAACTAATAAGGGAACAGATACACTTGTACAAGACAACAGTGATCCAAATCCACTATCATTGAACTAATAAGGGAACAGATACACTTGTACAAGACAACAGTGATCCAAATCCACTACCATTGAAATAATAAAGGACCAGATACACTTGTACCAGACAACAGTGATCCAAATCCGCTACCATTGAACTAATAAGGGACCAGATACACTTGTACCTGACAAC